CTCTAATTATTATTATTTTCTTCTTTTACCTACCTTAACTAGTTTCTCTTTTTTTTAGTTGCTTAAAATACAAGCTGAGGTCATTAATTTGAGACCTTTCTTCTATTCTATTTCAGGCATTTATTCTATAACTTTCCTCTAAGTGTACAACCTAGAGAATCCCCCAAATTTTGATATATTGAGGTTTCATTTTCATTCACTTAAATAGACTTTCCTATTTCCCGTTTAATTTGTTAATTTCCCAATGTGTTAGTCAGAGTTTATTATTTAATTTCCAAATATCTGAAGATTTTCCAGAAAATTTTCTGTTATTCATTTCTTATATGATTTAATTGTGGTCAGTGAATATACTCTGTATGATTTGAATCTTCTTAGATTTATTAAGGCTTATTTTATGGCTCAGAAATTGGTATCAGTTGGTAAATGTACTTCATGCACTTCAAAAGAATGTGTATTCCACTGGTGTTGGCTGGAGGGTTCTATAAATGCCAATTAGGTCACGTTGGTTGATAGAGTTGTTCAAGTCTTCTGTATCCTTATTGATTTTCTGTCTACTTGCTCATCATGCTTTCTTAAATGGCCTTCATTGTTTGGATTTAGCCACATAATACCAAATCAAACATCTAAAACTGTAGAAAAAAATAGTGTCCCTGTTGCCTGCTCGCTTATCTGAAAAAATAATCCTCAAATGTGAATGTGGAAAAATGAATATCTGAACATTTAAGCTGAAATTTCAGGGACTTCATTTTGATGATCTCGGCATCAGGCCTTGATGTACATTCGGTGTCTAAGTCTAATTCTCCAATTTGGCCTCACTCAGGTTCTTCTTAAAAGAAAGCTAGTATGTGGGTAATACGCAATATCTAATTACTTTGTAAATGAGACAAAGGTGAACCATATAGAATTTTTTATGATAAACTGTATCATTCTGGGACTTATGACAGGTAATACATATGATAACTGCCAACATTTATTGAATGCTTACTCCATGCTAGGCACTGTGCCAACATTTTTACATTTATTATTTAATTAAATTCTTATAATCACCTTATGAGGTTATTGTTATCATGATCCTCATTTTAAAGATAAGCACATTGAGTTTTGGTCAATTCAAGGATATGTTTCCCAGAATATCATGTTGCAGAGCAAACATTCTTAATCATTACCATATTTGATCAACAAGCTTGGCTGGAGTATGCATTCCAAAATCAGTTGATAAGCCCCTGCTTGTGTTCTAGGCACTGTGTGCTGAAAGCTAAGGATATAACTTGTGTCAATA